CAAAAAATAATATTATTGTTTGAAAATTTTTATGTTCGTTCGCGAATGTTTAATTTTTTTACGAAAATTAACAGGCACACATCTATTTTTTTAAAATAAGAAATTGCTATTGAAGAACATAAATAAAAACAAATCATAAAAAATAGTATAAGTGTTTAAATGGTACATAAAAAATGGAGTTTAAGGGTTAAAATAGAACAAGGCTAAGTTGGAGTGCCAAAATGAAAAATGAGGGCAAGTTTGAGGGATTGTGTATGCGTTTGGCCAATGGAAAATGAAGGGACTTTGTATACATCGATGGGTTTAAGTATGCCCTTTTTTGCCTATGTATACTTTGTTGATGCAACAAACTCTTTCTGAGATTGTATATATACCTCAACTGATAAGATTAGTGCGTTAACCGAGATTGTATATATACCACACCATTGATAAACACCAAAAATAAGGGATATTCACTTGTCCCTCATAAAAAGAAGGCAAGAAACTTGATTTGTGTATCCCTCATTGTATTCTATGTATATCATCATGTATATCTGGATTCAAACGTAATATACATGAGTCGATTTATCCTTCAAAATATTTTGAATATGTATAACTGTATAAGTTATCTTTCTTATATGTATATTTATTATAAAATTTGTATAAATGATCGTATATTAGTTATTTAACAGAATTTAAGCATGACATGAGCTAATTTTTCCTTCATATATGTATCTCAGAATGTATATCTCTTATAAGACTTGTATAACTAATTGTGTGTGTTTGTTATTTACCATAATTTAAGCATGATATTTATTGAAGACCAGAAAAGAAAAAAGGTTTTCCATAATAGAAATGATGAAAGCATAAGAGTCAATACAGAAACAATAAAAATTCAAAAAGAGAGAAAAATAAATAATTGTTGAGAATTTGATACCATACAAATACCAAAATTTTGGCCAATCTGAATTTGATCGTTTGATAATTGAGGCAAATTTAAGATTTAATCTTTCTAGATTAGGTTATGAATAGTTATGAGGTATTACTTATAAGTTTGAGTCTAAAAATAGTAGTAATTATTTCTAGCATGGAGAGTACTATTTTATTTTAATGAGTTTGCTTAATATCGATTTGAATTAAATAAAGGTCAATAATTTTCGAAAGCGAAATGTCCAATTACGTACTACTACTTTGATATCTCATTCTCCACACGTCTTCTATTTCATTTCACATATAAGACAATTGCAACCAAAAACAAAAAGAGGTTGTTGAATTTTTTTTGAAAAAAAGTTATTTATATTTTGAAAAAGCAAATATTTCGATTTTCTTAATATTATATTAGTAGTTGAATGATCGCCAAGCAAATATTCATATTTATTTGTATTTACTAAGAGGATATATTATATCTTTACAAACTTTTTTAATCCAAAATAAATACACTCTTATTACAATTCCATAACAAGTTGAGTTGGTACAATTATTGGATATTATAATGTCAAACAAAAAAATAACGTACACGTTTGTTTGATCCCCAAAGCCAAATGTGGCGATAATAGAGTTAATAGTTAAAAAAAAATACATTAAAATATTTTGATTTTTTGGACTTCATATCTGAACAGTAAGGACTAAAGTGTTCAGGTTTCTTTCCTGAACTACTATCAACTATTTATTAAAATACACATCAACTACTTTCTCCGTTTCATTTTACTTGACCCCTATAACCCAAAAAATTATTTCATTTGTTTCCTCATATTATATTTAGTATTAAATAACTATAAATAAAGTAGTATTAGTAGTAGTAATCAACTTCAGAGTCCAAAGCATCATTAATAAGCTTAATTTAGTAAAATACACATCTAATTATTATAAATTAAATATATGGATCGTTGGGCTGGGTCGAATTTTTATGTAGACCGATAAATAAAGACCATGTGTTTACTTAAAACTAAATCAAATGTCATTTAATTGTAATCGTTAAAAGAGAGAAATTTCAAGTCTAAAAATAACGTTAGGGGAAAATTTAATTCACTAGGCAGAAGAAAGATATTTTAAAGGTATTTCTAATGTGTTAAAAGACATTTTTACCCTTTTCCGTAAAGTTTATTAGCTGAAGATTAGTTACAAGATAATACGCTTCTTTATGTCTTTGAAAGGAAAATAGAGAAATTTGATGATTTATATTAACCTTTACAACCAAATAAAATCAACGGATTTTTTTTTCTTCAGATTTTTATTTTTTTTATCTATCTAAAGTAGTATATTATTATGACTACATTTTCCAACTAAAATGAAATATTACTGTCAAAATTGAATTGTACATTCATAATTATCCTAAGAACACATGATCCTAGATCGATACTTGTCACGAAAGATTTATTCTCTAGTTCACTCATAAAAAATTATCGTTATCAATTTCGCCTCGAAAACTTGACATGCTATTGTAGAAATATGTTAATCTAAGTAACACATGGAAAAATAAATTTTAGAATTATTTATTAAAAAATAATTAAATAAACACCACGTCTAAAGGGAGAAGTAATATATGACTTGCTTAAGTCAAGATACGATCTTTCCTAATTTATTTTTTTATCCTTTTTTTTTTTTTTTGCTTCTTTTATAAAGGAGTGAACGTGGAAAATAAAATATAAAATATATGAAAGGAAACTTCACAGCACCTTCTCGAGAATTATATAGTTTACTTGCTAAATGGATTGGTTAATTGAGTAGAATTATTTTTTGTATAAAGTACATAAATTCTATACATTTGGACTAATTATATCATATATCAAAAGTTTCTCAAATTACAAAAATTTGAATTTTTCATTACTTTCCGATAAATTCCTTGGTTGGCTGATACATTGAAATAGAGATGTATCAGAGAGGGTTTTTTTTAAAAATAAAATAAAATGATATAAAATTTTAGAAATTATAATATTTTAAGTCGTGTATTTATATAATTTTTCCTTATTTCATATGACGATATTACTTTGCTTCTCATTTACTATATGACCTCTTTATCCTTTCACTTTGGTCAATTAAATTAATCTTTAAATACAAGTTAATTTGAAGAACCACTTATAATTAGCATATATAATTTTTGCTTCATCTTATCTTACTTGTATATGTGACACAATTGTTATTTCGGACTTGGAAGGTGGGCGAAACTATACACTTCTGATTCAACAGAATTCAATAATTTAGATTATGTATTTGTAATATTAAGATATTCATGCAATATATATACAAATAATTTATTGGATATTCAATAAATTGTTTTTTTAAAACTCGTAGAAATTCAGAATCCTAACTTTATTTTCTCAAAGGTTACACGATTTCTTACAAGTACTCAATTGTGTCGATCAGTCAAATGCGTAACTTTCAAAAACAAAATGTTTAGAAAGGAATTGAAATCAGAGTTCACACTGTAGTTTTAAACGTGGTATTTGCCGTGTTCTGCACGATCAACTAAAGAACATTTAAATTATTTTATCAATGTTATACATTTTTTATTTTGTTTTGAATTGTTGTTCTACATAATATAACAAATAATATATATTATATTCATCTTTACAAATTTCAAAAACAATAACGAATCAAATTAATTGTTTGCTTGGGTTATAGTAATTACTAAAATTGTTGGGTTGTGGCCTAGTGGACCTTGAGAACACCCCTTATGGGTGGACTCTATTTTCTATACATATATAGTAAAAAAATTAAAATAAACATAAAATTTATGCTATAAAATAGTAAATTTATTAATAGAAATTAAAGTTTTTCTCACCACAAATTAGTAAAAAAATTGTTCTATAAAATATGATTTTTTTCATTGAATCAGCGTATTGGAAAAATGCATGAGTCATGACAGGAAACATATTTTCATTGAAATAATAAAAATATTCTATTTTTTTCGTATGAAAACATTTTAATTTTTTTCTTTTCTCACCAATTCAATTAAAATATACATGGAAAAATAATATTAATATTTTTTTGGTAGTGTCTAGTACCCTCTCTTTCTTACCAAAAGCCTTTAAATTTATGCTGACATATTTATTTCCATTTTGCCTTTTTGCCATACCATCAAATACTCTTCCACATTTTATTTTATTTTTTTCTTAACGTCTAACCAACAAAACAATTAATTTAACCAATAATAATTGAACCGTTCCTCCTCATTACTTTATTTCATCTAGAAGATTAATAAATTCAAAAAAATTCCACAAACTTTATACTATTTATATCTTGTCTTCTTTGATTAATCCTTCTTACTTATAACTCAAAAACCTCCAAGAAAGTCCTCACCATTATTTCTTCAATTTCAAAGTTTTCTTTCTTTCTTCAACAACTATCAATTATGTCTTCTTTGTT